TGTTATACTATGATAAACTTAGTTAATATCTACTTGTTTGTTGATTAAAGTGCAGTGCTTCAATACATGACCTTATTCCAATGGAGAATGGGGTGAAATGAATGGGGGTATTTTTATTTTAATTATAGCGGATGAAATACTGTCCCCACTGAAGTCAGTGGGAGTTTTGCCATTGACTTCAATGCAGCCAGAATTTCATCCAATGTGTTTCTAATGCATTAGTTTCCCTTCCATGCTGTACTTTTTAAAACCTAGGTAATAATCAATTACAGGCCACAGTAAACAAATCAGACTGGGGCATTAACTGATACAAGGAGTCACTTGCAATGATCACATTCCCTTATGGTTTATATAAGATGAAATACCACTGTGAAGAGCAATGTAACAAATGCCATATGAATGAAGGATTTCAGACTTCACAAACTTATTTAGATGATACAGATGCTCTAGGGTTAGCATCATTTTGTGAAGAATGTGTCTTGGTCCAGTTGAAGGGACCTCATATCGCCATTTGGCTCTGTTTTTGACAGTAGCTTAGTGAAAAGTCCCAGTCTCAAACCAATTTTGAGTATCTTCGAACCAACAGGTTAGCATTGTGAACACTGATACATGGCTAATGGACACTGTTACCATTGTAAAGCCAACTTCAGAAGAGATAATGATGACTATGAAAATATGTTTACACATATGTGAGAGACTCCTGTTATTCATAGTTAAACATCAAGACCCCCTTTTTGTCCCCCATTATTTTAATCCTCGTTGCTGCATGTGGCCTCTAGGACTATGTCTACTCTGCAATTAAAAACCCACGGCTGGCCCATGCCAACTGACTTGGGTTCACAAGGCTCCACCTAAAAGGCTGCAGCCTTAGCTGTGGGACCCTCCCACCTGGCAGCAAAAAATGACCCACCCCAAGTCTAACAGCCTGGGTCAACTGACTCGGGCTTGCATGATTTGTGCCACAAGGCTAAAAGTAACAGAGTAGACATTTAGGCTTGAACTGCAGAGCCCACATGGGGGAGTTACAGCACAGCATTTTGGTGCACACTGCTATTCTCAGCCCCTGGGACAGTGTAGACAAAGCCTACATTGAGAGAAGAGAGGTTTCAGAGTAGCAGCTGTGTTAGTCTGAATCCACAAAAAGAAAAGGAGGACTTGTGGCACCTTAGAGACTAACAAATTTATTTGAGCATAAGCTTTCGTGAGCTACAGCTCACTTCATCGGAATGCGTCCGATGTAGCTCATGAAAGCTTATGCTCAAATAAATTTGTTAGTCTCTAAAGTGCCACAAGTCCTCCTTTTCTTTTTGAGAGAAGAGAGTTACTCAAATTAGAATCTGGTCAAGAAATTGGGGCTAACATTCTATTCGTGTAAGTGGTTAAAAAGAAATTCTGTTTTATTTTCAGCGAACAGATGGCAACTCCCACAGCCTCCTAACACCATGCTGGGAGAGTAGTTCACTATTCAGTACTGAGTCAGAGAGAAGAGTGCCACCTACTGAGTTTTTAAAACCACCTCCCACAAAATCTGGGCTTTCCTTGGAGGTCTCCCATCCATAACGCTAACCAGGGCCAACCTTGTTTAGCTTAAGAGATTTGACAAGCTCATATTTCAAAATGGCTTGGCTGTAGGCAAAATCTGATACTTTGTAGATTAATCATTTTAATTTAAGTTTAATTCCTGCATTTTTGTTCCACTGTACTTGAATATATTTGTATTCTTAGTGTTTTCAACTGCAAGGACTGATTATGTCTGGGCTCTTATCCACCAACATAGTTACCTAGAGAAACTATAACAAAATCATGTTGTAGACTACATAAGTGAATATATAACCAACTGGTATTTTATTTAAAAAAAAAAACAAAAACAAAAACCATTCCCATCCCTTCAGGATTGACTTTAGCAGCATAGTTACCTCTTGAAACTTGCAACGCAGTTGTTTGCATCAACCTGAAAATAATAATAAAAGGAAGTACATAGGATACAAAACCCAACTTGCAAAATAGACAAACCAAGACCTTCACTTGTGAGAACAGATAACTGGAGAAATGTAAACACTAAAAATGTATTGTTGACAAAATGTGGCTGCACAGGTCTTGGAAAAGAAATAGACACAATAGATTTTGAATGTTTAACAGAATAAAAATAGAAGCTTACAGTATGTACACAGTCCCTGAGGCCCTTACAGCTTCCTTTCTTCATGAGTGGTTCTGAAAGGTTGTGCAGGTCACTTCCATACAGTAGCTGCTGTTATTAAGAATAGTACAAATTTACCTTCGCTTTATGAAATGAAAAGAGAATTGATCTGCATGCTTCTAGCATCAAAAATTTAAAAGAAAAAAAAACTAATTGCATATTACTTTTACTCAATAAAAAAAGAATTCATTTGGAAATACAATACTCAATCAAGGGCCACCATTGAAAAGATTAAAGATCATATTGCTTTTTTTTCTGTGTCCTTTTGTTAGATGAGTCAAAAAATCTGAGAATTCAAACATCACACACACCATTTCTATGGTACAAAATGTTACATCAACGCAGTCACAGGGGACAGCTGCTCATTTATTCTAAACAGACTTTGTTCAGGGCCAGGCTTGAATGATGAGTCATCGATTCATAGATTCCAAGGCCAGAAGGGACCACTGTGATCATCTAGCCCGGCCTCCTGTATAACACAGGCCATAGAACTTCCCCCAAAATAATTTAAAAGAGCATATATTTTAGAAAAACATCCAATCTTGATTTAAATATTGTCAGCATTGGAGAATCCACTACAACTCTTGGTTAATTTTTCCAGTGATTAATTACTCTCACCTGTAAAACTTTATGCCTTATTTCCAGTCTGAATTTGTCTAGCTTCAACTTCCAGCCAGTGGATTGTGTTATACCTTTCTCTGATAGTTTGAAGAGCCCATTATTTGTCCCTCACATAGGTACTTATAGACTGCAATCAAAATCCACCTTAACCTTCTCTTTTGTTAAACTAAATAGATTGAGCTCCTTGAGTCTATCACCAGTGCCAAATAAAGAGGTAAAACAACCTCTGTACTCCTCCTTGAGATTCCTGTTTATGCAACCAAGGATCACATTAGTCTTTTTGGCCTCAGTGTTGCACTTGGAGATTATGTTCAGCTGATTTGCACCAGTATCTCCAAATCCTTTTCACAGTCACTGCTTCCCAGGATAGAGTCCTCCAGCACGTAAGTATGGCCTACATTCTTTGCTCCTAGTATATACATTTACATACAGCCATTTTAGAACACATATTGTTTGCTTGTGCCTAGTTTACCAAGTGATCCAGATCATTCTGTACTTGTGACTTGTCCTCTTCATTAGTTACCACTCCCTCATCTTTTGCATCATCTGGTAACTTTATCGGTAACGATTTTGTTTTCTTCCAGATCATTGACAAAACTGTTATATAGCCTAGGCTCAAGAACAGATTCATGTGGAACCCCAGTAGAAACACACCCGCTCAATGATGTTTCCCCATCTTTTAAATCTATCAGTTAGCTAGTTTATAATCTATTTAATCCATTCAATCTCAGTCTCTATATTAAAAATCCTATAACTATCAGAATTGAAACAGCCTTGGCCATGCCCTAAACACCTCTCAAGGGAGTGCAGAGAAGTTAATTTGCATGCAGTGTTTCAAAATGAGTTTTAATGGATTTACATTAGATTTGAACCCACTTTAGATGTATTATTTCTCCCTTTTCAACCTTCTCACTCACTATTCCTACTATTGTACTGCAATACAGTATATCCTATAATCATATGTTTGCAGGCCTGTGGTAAAGTAAACAAAACTTCAAAGGGTTATTATGGAAAGGCCTAATTGTTATTTTTCCTCACCACCCCTTGGGCCCAAAGTACATAATCATCCAGTAATTGAACTGAAATGCCTAAATGGCTGGATCCCCTAAAGGACATAGGTATTTATCAGTGAAGAAAGTAAAGAAAATTTAATAGACCCCTATGGCATTCTCCTGCACTAGTAGAAATACTATGTAAATATAGCTGACCTGGACCTGCTAGGCTCTTCTGAAATCATTACAGGATACAGAACAATGCTTGGCTGTTATGGGGACTGTAAATAATGTAAAGATAAGAAACAGAATTAAGCTGAAAACAGAAGTCTCAATTTTAAAAAAATTAATTTGTGAAGAATTAAGAAGAGGGGATAGAAATACACCTATAACAACAATGTCAATAATACTATGTGAAAGCAAATCCCCAAAGGGCCTCACATTTAATAGCCCCTCCAAAATGTGTATGGATAGTGGATCCCAGGCTTTCACTTACTGTAAGTGTCATAGAACTCATGAGATAGAGCACTGAAGGCCCTGACAGCTCTCTTTTACATTCTAAATGACATCTGCATTCAACAGAACAGAAATAAAGATTAAGAGAAACACCTCATACGACTGTGCTCAGCTTACCTCAAAATGTAATATTTAAAAAGTACAGAGAAACACAGGTCTGTCTTCTTGTACTGTAAGTAAGAACTGGTGTCAAAGCCTCAGAGGTCTTCATTGCTGCAGGAAAGGCAAGTACCACAGTATCCAAAGGACAATGGGAGCCTAAGCCACAGCATCTTACTCAGCCAAAACTCCTGATGAAGTCAAAAGGAATTTAGCCTGAGGAAGGGGCTCATCAGCGGGCTCTGAATACACAGCAAAAATGGTTCCAAGTACGTTTACACAACACAAGATTAACATGGCAAAAGATTCTCAGCCCGTCTTACACTTCAGTGATCAATAGAATGTCCATTACTAATTAATAAAATCACAATGATTTTGTACCTGTAGGAGGGTAACTTACTGCAAGTATACTTTAAGAGGTTATTAATACTTATGGCTTAGAACAAAATATGTCAGCATACAGATCGTGAAGAGATTATTTCAAATATATGTTTGTTGGTTGATTGCATAAGTGATACCTCTTATTGCTTGAACAACACCTCAAAGGCAAAATAATGATGACATGACAATGTATGTAAATCAAGAACTGCATGTGGGTTTATTTTACACTTGAGAAAACAGTGGATTTAATTGTGTGAACCAAAATGTACTGTACAATATTAATGATAAAACATCAAAATGTATAATTCATAGTGCATTGCTTGCTTTATTTTTATTTATTTATTTTTGTCAGATAGTTCCTTTAAGTACATGCATCTGGAAAGATGCAGGTGCCAGTAAAATTTCTCTATTTAAATCAAGCTGCAGGAACTAAATTTTATTCAAAAAGTGTGGTTTTACATTATATACACAGAAGTCGAATATAAAATGACGATATAAAAAGTTAAAAGAGAAAGCATACAGCCAGAAGGTACAAAGAAAGTTAAACAGTTTAAAATGGTACGATATGTAACATGTATTTTTTTAAGCTGATGCTGGCAATTTACAAGGAATGGAATCCAACATTTGCCTCTTTTTATGTTTTGTTTTTTGTTTTCATTTACCAATGCAGCACACTATAGAAAGGTGAGCTTGTACCAAAGCTTAACATTTGTAAATAACTATAAACTGCAGTATTTTACAGGGAAAAAAAGCATTTTTACACTTTTTTTTTTAAACAACAGCTTGCATACTTTTTTTGCCAAAAAAAGTGGCAATTTTCAGCATCCAGAGGGTTTGGGCATAGTGGCAACTTGGTTTGCTATTTTATATTATTTTTATTATTATTATTATTATTAAACTCTTACAGTTGTGGCTTCCTAACCCCGTGAGTACTAGATAGCTTTCCTTCGTCCAAGAACTGCATGCATCTTTTCTCCACAAACCAGCTCTGCGTTAAAAAATGCTCATTCAGTTTAAAAAAAAAAATCTTTAGTACATTTTGTTTTTGACATAGCTTTGATTTGAATGAAATCCCTTTAAGCCTCTTTATTTATTTAATTATTTGGAAAGGCACAGAAATGCTATTAGTTCTTCGAGGGTTAAAACTTGACACTACTGGGTTCTGTGACCTTTATTGTCATGGCAACTTTGCAATTTTAGGATGTCTTTATATCATTGTTCTTTGTGTCTTTCTTTACTGCTAAATTAATGTTTCTCAATAGTGTCTCCCACTATATTCTATAAAAGATAGCTTAACATCAAGGACAGATGTTGAAAATAAAGGTCAGACTTTTACTCACAAAAAAAACAAAACAAAGCAAAAAAAACCACCATGCACAGATCAGACAAAGAGCATATAAATATAACTACAAAATAAGTGTAAGAAAAACCAAGGTCCAGATAGGCAGTTCAGCAACAAAAGTAAGACTGATTTCAGAGGCTCAGGTCAGGCCTAGTGCAGTACTATGAAGAAGTTTAGTGCAATGTTCCCATGGTCACTTGCATACCTAGCTGCTTATCTGGACGCTATTGTTTTTCTAACTCAGTTACATAGATCAGATGGTCCTCTGGGGACTTGCCGTGTGTTTTACTAAGGTGCAGTTTGACTGCGTGCTTACTTGCAAAAGTTCGGTTACAGAGCTTACACTGGAATGTGGATCCCAAGTCCTCCTCAGAAATTCCAAGTGAACCCAAAGTCTTGTTCGTGAGGACTTTTGAAACATTCTGCTGTTCTTGAATCTGATTTAGTGGCAACTTTGACAGATCCTTCAAACTAAACCCTAAATGTGTCTCTAAGTGACTTATGTACGTAGAAGCAGTCCTGAATTGAGAGGCACAATCATTGCAAAAGAAAACAGGATGTCCTGTGTCTAGGTTCTTTAAAAACTTAGTTCCACCTGTCCTCCTTAACTGATACTTCACATTGGCCAGCCAGTGGCTAATTGTGGTCATGGAAAGACCAGTAAACTTAGAGATGTGTACCCGCTCCTGTGGACCGAGGTCTGACATAATATATTTGCCTTCTGGTGTCTCCCTCAAGCTGGAAGCAAACTGTGCTTGAAGGATCAGAAGATGCTGAGGGTTCCAGTTGGACTGTCTGCCTTTCCTCTTGTGTACTGGTGACAGCTCATCCAGAGCTTCCTCAAAACTGCTTCCATCAGCATCCGACTTCTCTGACACAGTAGACGGAGTCGAAGACTTGGGTGTCAAACGCCCGGTGAGATTTTTCACCATATCAGAAATATCCATTAGGGCGCTCTCCCTTAGAGGAGAAGAGACAGAGTCAGCCACACTGGAAACAAGAGGTTTGCTTTTGGACTTGGTTAAATCAATGGGCTGATCACTGTTTTCATAGTAGTACCGGTCGATGGCATCAGCCTGCTTGACCGGAGTGGTCGGGTAAATAGGTTTGTCCAACATACTGTTGCTAATTTTGTACAACATGGCCAAAGGGTCCAAGGAGGGGCTTACTGGCTTAGAAACTTTGCCTAGGTGGGTATTCATAATGGACTGTAAAGCACTCAATGGGTTAATGAAAGATGGCTCAGGCGAATGATCTGTGATGATTCCTAAATTATTACAGCCATTTGCGACTTTTGCTTTGAGTGGCTCTGTACCATTTGGAGTATGAGCTTCAGCTGGACTGTCCTTTTTGACCTTCTGAACTTCTGCATTGGCACTCTTTTTCTGCTGCTGTTTGTTGTTTATTTCCTCTGATTTTGGAAAGTCTTTGTTTTCTTTAGCAGCAGGTGATGTTGGTTTAACCGGAGAACTCTTCTCTTTCTCTGCAGGTTTTTCTTCCCTCTTTACATTGATTTTACCTGTAACCTTCTCCACCAGCTCCTCCATCGCAGACACATTACTCTTGTGAGGTGGGGGTGTGAGACTACCTGGGGAATGGACAAGTGCACTGTGTTCCGACGACAGTGATTTTACACTACTGGCATAGGATGGCTGCATTTGAACACTCTGCACTGTGGGTTGTAGGGACTTTACTGTTCCCGGTAGCTGGTAAGCTGCATGAATGCTGGGATATCCTCCCCAGGAAGGTGCTCCATTCTGAGCCTTGCTGATAGCTGTTGTCACTGTGTTCTCAAGGGATTTCAATATATCTATTCCACCTTTAGGACTGTCATCCAGATCCTCCTCTCTGAGGTACTGATATAAAGTTGTTGGCTCAAATTTTTCCATAGAGTCCTCACTCTCCTCTTTTATCTTTTTGTCTGTTTCAGTGACAACCACCTTTTCCTTTTCTGGGTCCTTCTTCTCCTCAGAGTTTGTAGACCCAGCTGGAGAATCAGGATGCTTTTTAATGTTGGAGGCTGGTAGTCTCGTATGGGTGGTGGGTGGCAAAGGTATGGACTGTATCTTTTCCTCCACCACAGGGTCCAACACTAGTTGTTTTCCTTTTTTCGAGGCGGAGTTGGTCACCTTCAAAAAATGACCAGTGACCATCATATGAGCAGTAAGTTGCTGCAACGTGTCATGAGAACTGCCACATTCCATGCATTTCAATATCTGGGCTTTACGGGCCTCAAACTGCCAAGTGTAGCTAGCACCATTTTGATAGCCATAGCGATTGTTTGGAGTCACATAGGGATTGGCAGTTTTCTGATCCTTTGCAGACTCACTCAATGCACCCTCTCCAGTGATCCCTGGTGGCTCAGGTGAACAAGGTGAAGCTAAGTCCTGAAGTGCTCGCTTTTTGGTAGAGGGGACCAATTTAGTGATGGCTGGTACTGGTTCCTTCAGAGGCACTTTCTGGTAATGCTTTGTTTTTATCATATGGACACTCAGGTCTTGCAAAGATTCAAATGAATGCCCACAGTACATGCATTTCAGCACTTTTTGAGCATCCTCTTTGCCTTCCATTTCCATAAGTGAACGTTTTCTAGGCTTTGACCACCGTTTGGTCTTTTCAGATTCTTTATCTCTGTTGTCATCACGGTAATGTCCAGTTTCATTCATATGCACTGTTAGCTCCACCAGTGTGTCATAGGCTGCACTGCAGTCTTTGCATCGAAATTTACTAGCACCGGTGAACACAGACCCATAGAGTTTATTGTTTTGCCGGTAAAGCTGAACTGTGCTGAACAGACTAGGCTCCGGGAGAAGTCCATATGAAGAAGTCTGCTGCAAAGTTTTCGCTAATGCAGCTTGGTGCCAGTCATAACCGGAGCCACCACTGTTACTGTGACTAGTATTACAGTTACTCGTACTAGTACTGGTACTCGTGTTGGTACTGGTACTGTGGGAGTTGGTGCTAGCATTGCAATTGGTGGTGTTTTCATTCTGGCTGATTTCATTGGTGCTGGTCGTTGGACTGGATTTCTTTAAGTCCAAAGCTAAACTGGACCAGCAAGACTCTGAGAGTAAATTTGCATACACAGCTTTTATTTGTGCCAAGCTGTCCTGTGGATAGGAAGCATTGTCTGTGCACTGATGATCCTCTCTCTCTTCTTGAGAGGAAGTGCTTTTGAAATGGGCCAGTCGATCACTGTTTTCACTAAACGGCGAACCATAGCCTGCATCTTGATTAGTTGCAGAGCTGACTGGGGAGTTCTGGTAGCTTTGAGCCTCTTTGAGCTCTGTTTCTTCATTGCACAAATACTCACTCTCCTGGATGTCCAGAGATAGCCCGTCATCCTCCACTCTGTCTTCATCTATTTCCGCTGCCTTCAACTCCTCCTCAGGAACATATGCTTAAAATATAGAAAAACAAGACACCGTTATGGAATGCGCACATTTTATATCACTGCCATCTCTTAGACTAAACACGTTAACCATGAGGCCAAATTTTAAAGGTACAAACAACACATCCCCACCACTTACACACTCAACCTGTACACCCTTAACTTAATGTCAACCTTAACTCTTAATAGGTAGTATTAATTTTTATGCTAGTAGAGTAACATGCGACAGACAGTACCACAATAGTCACCACTGTTATGTTTAAAAAGCATTAAGCTGATTCCTCTCCTCAATACAAGAGTAATTAAATAGAGCAGTAGTCAGGCAGTGAGATACATTATGTGTGTACAAAGCAGATGTGTGAGGTTGACATCTGTTCCATGAACCTAGGCTCTTAGAATCACTGACTGGACTGATCCCATTTGCTGAAGCCCTGTAGCAAATTGACCTCAGCTGCACCCTCAAGGGCAATCTCCTTGGCAAAATCAGTTGCAGACAACTGACTCTAATGGAGCCATACTTGGCAAAAGTGTCAGGTCAATTATTGAGGAGGTTCCTGGTGGCTTGTTGCATTGGGTTCATTAGAGAGTGGCATAATCTCACAGCTCTTGGCTTTCACTGGCGTAGAGCATTTTTTAGTATAACATTTAAATGGTAAACTGACTTAAAGAGGACAACATAGGATAACAATTATTATTGTTCTGTATGAACAGGAGATACTTTGTATCCCCCTACACTATAACATGGCATGGGTGCCACATTACTATTCTGGCAAGAGCCATTGGTAGCTAAAAATAAAATAAAATGAGTGAGCTGAATATTTAGAAGCGCTAAACATAAAACATAAGACTACATTGATTATTGGCTTACAGTAAATATCAAACTTTGCTATTGTATTGCCATCTGGTGAAACTCTACAAATTACATGTTCATCTGTATCAAACTATTTTTTAAGCTAGCAAAGGTGATATTCATGAGCAGATGCCACTATATCAAAATACATTTACTCCAAGGGCCCAATTCACAAAAGTGGCTTACGTGCACCTAAGTCAGAGGTGGGCAAAGTATGGCCTGCGGGCCACATCCAGCCTGCAGGACCCTCCTGCCTGGCCCCTGAGCTCCTGGCCTGGGAGGCTAGCCCCCGGCCCCTCCCCCCGCTGTCCCCCCTCTGGGCGGCTCTGGGCAGCCAGGCAGCGCAGTTGCAGAGCCGCGGCCTGACCTGGTGCTCTGGGTGACATGGCTGTAGTGCCGCCAGCCACCGGTGCTCCAGGCAGCGCGGTGAGGGGGCAGAAGGGGTTGGATAGAGGCAGGGGAGTTGGTGGTGGTGATCAGGGGTCGGGGTGTGGATAGGGGTCGGGGGGGGACACAGGGGTTGGATGGGGCAGGGCCCCGGGGGGGGGCAGTCAGGAAGTAGAGGGGGGTTGGATGGGATGGCAGGGGGCAGTCAGGGGTGGAGGTTCCGGGCGGTCAGGGAACAGCGGGTGGTGGATGGGGTAGGAGTCCCAGGGGGGCCATCAGGAGACAGAAAGGGTTGGATGGGGCAGGAGTCTTGGGGGTCCATCAGGGGGTAAGAAGCAGGGGGTCGGATATGAGGTGGGGGCTGGGCCATGTCTGGCTATTTGGGGAGACACAGCCTCCCCTAACTGGCCCGCCATACAATTTTGGAAACCCGATGTGGCCCTCAGGCCAAAAAGTTTGCCCGCCCCGACCTAGGAGATAAATGTACATTTTCATTGTATGGTAGAAAACATACATGTACACTTTTGCCTCCACATTTATAAAAGAAGCACTTGGCCAGAAAAATCACCTTGGTTGTGGAATGTAGGTGAGTTTATGTGCAAGTCAAAGTAGAAAATAAACATGGGTTGAGAACAGCTTTCTGACATGGAAAAAAAATATTTTTACGTTGGGTGAATTGCGCACAGAGCCATTCTGAAATGTGTGCAATTCCCTTGCAGGAAGAAAGGTTGAAAGAAAGCCAGAAAAAGGCACTTCTGCTCCAATGTGATATGAAAAAAAAGAAACAAATAAAATAAAATACACTTATCACCCTAGGAAGTTTTAGTTGTTAGGTATTAATACAATTTGTGCCATTTTTCACAAGCAGTTGCTAATTCTTTCATTTCCAGAATTTTTCCCCTTTAAAAAAGCAAAATTTAATCCTCCCATTTTAACAGGAAGACTATTTAAAATGTTTGTTTTTACAGAACAATAGTATCTACAATCACTATGTGACACTTCTAAGTTTACAGTAGAGTCCTAATACACTCCCTGCACAACTATAGCCCCATATTTCAAGACAAGGGGATATGTGACTCATCCACTTCCATCCCCCTACCACTGTAGTGCTGTTCCTTATCATGTCTTCCTCAACCCTCTACCCAGTCTATAACTGCCTGTCTCATTCTTATCTCGGGAGATACCTTTGTTTTACTAAAAACGGTTACAAGTTAAAAATGACACAGTTTCAGGTAAAGTCTTATTAAAAGGGTAGCTGAGCCACAAGCCTTTTATTTAAAAAGTATGTAACGGTATCAGGGAGGAGGAGGAGGAGGAGGAGACCGGGCAAAACAGAAGAAGCTGGAGAAAAGGCTCAGAGGGAACCAGAAAGGATGATGTTCTCCAACAAAGAAAAAGAAAGAAAAAACTACTATTCATTTATTCTGTAAAAATCTCAGCTCTTACAGTGTTATCACAAGAATGTCACAAAGGGCCCACAATGTATTATAGCCTTGTAATGCTGTTACTTTTATAATTTTAAATTGTGTGTGTGTGTTGTAGCGGAATCCACTAGCACAGCTGTAGTTAAGAGTCTGTCAGCACTCGCATAATACATTCCTGTTTTCAGGTATTTATAACTGCAAAAGAAAGCATTTTATAGGAGGGCAAATATAGACAATTATGGAATCTGGGACCTTTTTTTCTGACAGTGTTTTTCTAAATTAAAATTTCCAGGCTCACAGTGCATAACATAGACTAGGCCCTTCTGGCATTTTTTCCTTACATATAAAAATATGAGCTATTAATGACTGACAGTCAGTTACTATGGAGGAGCTGAAACTTAATGGGACATATTTTCAATTGGTATAAATTAATGTAGCTCCAGTAACTTCAACTGAGCTATGCCAATTTACACTAGCTGATAATTTAATCCAATGTTTTAATAAACATGACTAACTTCTTCAAGTTGCAGATCAGTGCTACAGGTCAACAATCTGCATGACTGGTCCAGTAGGTCGTTATTATTTTTCAAAAGTGGTAAAAAAAATTACATTTTTAGTAATTACTGTAAATACCTGCTTCAAATCAGTTTCTATATGTAAGTGATAACTGATCCAAATTATATATATTTTTTTCTGTTTAATTTATGATGATCTTTCGTGTCGATTCTCATACACTGTTGATTGGTGGGGAAGTTTCTTTTATTTCCACCAGAAAGGGAGTTAAACTACACCAAAAAATGTTTAAGTTACGTGAAATGTCTGGTGCTAACCCACTAAAACAAAGAACCTGAGTGTTAAAATGAAATTCCATCTGTCACTTTCTTTCTTACTCTTAGTTTTTACTGAGACTACTACAAGGGTGAGTTCTTTTACATGCCAAGATATACTGAAATACCTAGCTAGAAAGTGGACAGAGAACTTTCTGCCTTAACGATGATTTTCCTTTCTTTCAAAATTTAAAATCAGATCCTGAAAACAATCCAAATTTTTATATATATGTATATATCTACACACACACACGCATGCAGTTATTATAAATAATTTCTAAACAAACACACACAATGCACATTTAGTAATATGGTAGTTTATTTGAATTGTTTTAATTTATATTATTACCATTAGAAACTATTTCATTGAAACCCTCTGATTATTGTTGAGATAAATATAATACTTTTTATTCAGGACTTTAATAATGTTTCTAGTAAGAATATTAATACAAACAACAGAATATGATATTTCACAAGGTCAATGAAATTTTCTAGTCCAGAAGTTTTCTATGACAGATATTACAGAAAAACAGAAAATAAAGACAAAGTTGTTACTTTTCAAAAATATATATTTACTAAAATTTCCCCCAGGGAAATCTGATGAATAAGTAGGCGTTGGAATTCTCTTTCCACAGTTATTTGTATAGAAAAGTGCTATTATCCTAACTCAAATAAAACAGAGAAACTGAGATTCTCTCTCTATGTTTAAAAATAACAGACAGACAGACAAATGGACAGAAAGATTCCAGTCATTTTTTTTTAAATGTTAAAACAACTCCCATCAACCTTCTACATACACTTCCTGCACCTACAAAGATGTTGCAAACTGTGATACTGGGTAACATGTGTGTCCTGCAACCACACAGAAATATACAGAGCAGCAATAAAAATTCATCTCCAGCAACTTCACTATACCCAAAGCAGAAGATATTTTAGTGCATAATGTTGCCAATCCCTCTCTCTCTGAAAAAAAATCATCAAATTACAGACACAGGAAGAAATAACTAGCGATTGGAAGTGGTCTGCTTTTCTTTTTACTAAACCTTGTTAATATTTCTTGCCCACAAGATGTGCCTTCTGGATGCCAATGTTTCCCCATAGATGTACTATCATCTCTGAACAGCATTAAAATCTGTGCATTCTAATGTAAGTGGACATGAGGCGCTATATATCGAACATGTTAGTGGTACAGCACATTGTGTTTGCTTCAGTGAGAAGGTTTACACTATAAATACACATCCATTGTCTGAAGAGGCAAACACACACTGGAAATATATAAATGGTTTTAAAACCATTATATTTTTTCATGAAAAATATATAAAATAATTTCTTAATCCTTAGCCCAGTACTTCTGAAGGAATTTCTCTCTAGCCTAGATATACTTTTCCATTTATAAAAAGGATTGTAGTATTCAGACATTATTTTAGGAATGGCAAAAAGTGATAACTGTAGAGTGAAAACTCTATCAAAGCCAGACAATAATGGATCAAAATATAACTGTAAGGAAAAAATATCAAAGTA